ATAATGACCTACCTTGAGATGTTGCATCATTTCTCCATTCAGCTTCCGTACGCATTTTTTGAAGCTCATTACTTAATATTAAGATGGTTCTTTCGAGATTATTATCTCGTGGTCCCATTAGATATTTGCGAAAAAAGATGATAGCAATGGCGACGATTATATAAATGTTTACGTTTCCAGAAAAAATGCTCTGGATCATATCCATTGTTAGGATACCTCAGCTCGTCATCTCGGAAATTACAATTGCGACGCCGAAAACTGCGATCAAGAAAATATCTGAGTTTGAGAACATTTTTTAGATAATGTTTTATTAGTTTTATGTGAAGTTGTTATTTTTTATTTCTTGGAGGAAAAGAAATACCAAAGGCTTCTCTAGAAATAATCCTTTTATATGTTTTACAATCGCCTGGCAAAAATAAATGCCCATATATACTAGCATAAAGAATCCACATCGAAATATGGATCTGTACATTTGGCTGAAAGCGCTTGTGTATGAAAATGATAACATGTATAGACGGAGATCTAGATTCACAATTATGTTAAGTCAAAATCTTATGAATTACGGCTTTCAATTGTCAAAAATATACTAATAAAGTAAGGTTGGGTTGCGTAGCAATCTGGTATCGCTTACCCCTTGTAAATCATAAAACTACCAAAAAGAAAATCAATCCACAAATGGAAATAATTCCAGAACTCTCGAGCAAAAAAATAAGAAATTATGCCAGAACTTTCTGGAAAAAAGGAAATATCACTACTGGAATAATTATTGATTTAACACCACGATCTAACCCACGATCTGCCCCCAAAGATTTGCAAAATATCTGACGGTATTTCATAAGATCTTAGCCCTGGCTTCATTGTTAGAAAAAAGCATCAGTCATTATTATGAAAATAGCACATCTAGGTCTAAAAATAGGAGTATTGCAGGGCGCTAGGTCTCTTATCAATCAGAATATTAGCATCCTCCTTCGGTCAAGACCTAGGCGATCGTCGCAAAACATGAAACAAATATATTAACTCTAATATCCGCCTTCTGGTCATATTAAGAAAAAATAAAATTTTTGGGATGAGTACTATCTAATCCTATTCTTCATCGGACTCAATTATGAGATTTATTTTTGGGTATAAGTTTTGGAAATCAGATATTATATTATTTCTAATCCGTAAACATTCACTAATTTCTATCGTTCCTAAACTAGGAGCCAGCTCTGGAATTTTTAAAAAATGCTTTTGGACTTATTTGCCTAGAACCTCTTATCGTGAGTCTTTTTAAATTAGGACACTCAACTAGAAGTACTTCCAGATTTTCATTGCTAAGTATGCGCGACCCACAATTTTCAAAACTTAGCCATTGTAAATTTGGACATGCCTTGCACACTTCAGAAATGTACACATCTGGCTCTATATTTATTTCTCCAATAAATTTTAGACCTAGCACTTGTGCATATATGGCTAGCTTCGTATTTCTACTCAATGCCTTAGTAAACTTGACCCTAGAAATAGCTGTTAGAGTTATTCTTTGCCATATTAGTCTTCTAGCAATATAATACCATTGCTTATTAACAAATAAAAGGGGATACATTTTCTTGTCCCTATCTTTTCTATAATGTTGGAAAATTCTATCAAGAATCTCAATTGGTAAAGGTAAATAATGGATGGATGATTTTTCCGATTTCGTAGATGGAGAAACTATTTCATCGAAATCAACCCATTTTAAATTCATTACATTTTTTATTGACACAATGCCTGATTTTGTAATTTTTAGATCACTATTCCCACCTACATATCTTTCTATCAGCTGTTCAGTATTTTTATCTGAAATAATAAAACCATCTGTGTGAATACGCTTTACACG